GGCGGGGCAGTAAGCCTCTGGAGCCTCTGTAGGGAAAGAGACGTAGGAGACAGCCAGGGTGAGAGATGGCCAAACCCTGGCACTGCCCAGCATGGTTCTCTGCTTTTGGGGGCTCCTACTGTGGGCCCTGAATGCAATCAGGCTTCAGACAGGAGGTCGCAAGGCCCTGGATGCTGGAGTAGCTGCCTGGGCCCGTTTCCAACTCTTAGGGAGGGGCCTGAGCTGGGCCACTGCAGGGCCAGCCACTGTCACTGGTACCTTGAGACTCCTGACAGGCACTCATGTGGGTGTGGGCAGCAAGGAAGGCCTGTCCCCCAGAGAGAGGCCTCCTGGAGCATGCTTAAGGACCATGCTTATGGGAGCCTGGGAGCAAATACATCCCTTCTGCTGACCACCAGGGGTTTGCAACCTGCTAAGCCTGGAAATGGCCCCTGGTGGGGTACTCTTCAGTGACTACTTCCTCAGGCCAGGCAGGACTGGCTCACACAGACCTCTGTCAAGGAGGGCTTGGGAAGCTCAGCTCTGAATCCCCACACCAAGCACCTTTTAAATTACCCAGGAGACCAACTGGCTCTTCCTCCAGGCTGGCTAGGGTGGCTTCTCAGGCCCCAGCATCAGCACACTCCTTCTGTATCTGCCCAGCCCACATGCAAGGAAAACACCAGGATCTAGGTGTTCAGGAAGGCCCTGTTGGGACCCTGCACAATGTTTTCTCACCTGTCTGGCTTCATCTGGGACCTTCACACTGACTCATCCAGGGAGTAATGGGCAGGAGCAGGCCAATTTCTCCGGCTCAGGGAGAGCAGAGGGCTGCAGGCAGCAGAAAGGGATAGCTAGCTTGGCTCTTCATCTCCAGCTACTGGCTGGTGATGAATTCTGGTTCTGCCCTCATTCTGGGTCCAGGAATGACCCCACACACACTCAAGGTCCAGCAGAGAGACACAGAACTTCCCCCTGGGATGTGGGATGTGGGATGTGGGATGTGGGATGGACAGGGAGGGACCTGAAAGCTGGGGGACCCTCTGTTGCCAGTGGTTGGTGGACATGGACTCCTCTGGGCTGCCGGCCTGGCCCTGATCCTAGGACAAGCTGTAGTCCAGGACGGTCATTTGGAGAGGAAGGAGCTCGATGAAGCCCTCAGGGACCCCACACCCAGCCTCTGAGCAGGGCGAGGTGCTGTCTCAGCGTCTCACATGCACAAGCGAGAGTGGGCATGATGGCTCTGTGCTGTACAACAGGAGACTGAGGTGCAGCGGGACCCAGAGGCTCCCATGGTCACACAGCCAGGACTCAAACGTGGGTCTGTGTGGCTGCCATGTTTTGCTCCTCCTACGCCCTAAGGGAAGTCCCTACCTGATACTGTCCAATCCTGGACCTCTGCATCCCAGGACCCAGCCTAGAGAGAGGACTCCAGCCTGCTTAGCAGCAGGGTCCAAGCAAGCAAATGAAATCGGGTGGTGAGAGTGTTTCAAAATTAACTGTGCTCACTCCCTGTCCGCATGGCCTTGACAGAGCCTGTTCACAGCCACAGGCTGCGATCAAGGTGTGCCCACACCTAGGAGGCTGTGAAGTGTTTCACAAGAGCACAGGAGGCCAGCAAAGCAAGGGCACTGACACGGAACAAAGTGTGCTGCAGACACTGTCCCTTTTGTTCTTCTCCCTCTCCTGAGGGCACCCGGCTGAGTAACCCTGCTGTGTAAACCAGGAAACTGAGGCCCAGAGAGGCAGGGGGATTCTCCAGGATCTCAAAACCAGAGCAAGAGCAGAACAGGCATAAGTCTCCTGACATGCTTTCTGCCCTCCCTTCTGCTCCTGACCACAGCTCAGCTTTGGGAGAGGTGCTAAGGACCTGGTGAGGAAAGTTCTTGTTGCTACAGCAACAGAATAGTGAAACTGAGGCACAGAGTGGGTACTGCTGCAAAGATGGACAGGTTAAGGCTGGCAAACATCTCCCTCCTGCCCTCTTCCAAGATACAACACCGGCCCTCTGCAGGGTGACGGTGTGCTCAGGCCCCTGGTTCCTTCATTGCCAAGCTTGACTTTGTCAGGGAGAGAGCAGAGGCTTGCAGAGGCCCCTGCGAAAAGGCAGAAATCTCAGACTCTCAGACTTGGGGGCCAGTGCTCCATCTGCACAGCTGTCAAGGTCTGTGGCTGCACATTTATCTCTAAGGGGCTCTCGGAACCATCAGAGAAGACCACAAAATTCCCCTAACAAGGGAGCCTGTGACTGCATGGTGGACCCAAAAAAAACCAGCGTCCAAGCCAGAAACCAACGTAAGGTCCACCTGCCTCTCACAGTGGGCTCTGGAAGGGGAGGCTCTGGCCACCAAGAAGGGCCCTCGGGCAGGCGTCCAGCCCTGAATGTTGAGCCCAGATAGGGATGTAGGAAGGAGCCTGAACTCAAAGAGCCTGTGTCTAGCGAAAGCCCTGTTTTGGGAGTCTGGCTAATGACCTAAAAGATGTGGTGCTCCCTGTCCTCACTAGGCTGTGCCACCATCAGCCTCCTGGGGATGGAGCTTTGGTTTTATACATTTGGTTTCTCATGGAGTTCTCAAAGTACAAATCTTCCTCTGTTATGACAGTGTTCTGTCCGCCTTTCAGTACAAGCCCTAAATACTTAAGGCTGTTTTTTTAATTATGTTTTGCAACCTTTTTATAAGTTTGCAAAACGTAATAACCCGTGCATTCCTCTTCTGAGAATGCTAACTGTTTACCTTTTGCCCTTTCTCCCTCTATGCACATCTGTATGGGTGAATAACTGCCTTGGCCTGTTAAGGGGAAGTTATCAGGGTGTTTTGTCTGTTACAGCCCTGCCTACCGCCTCTACCACTGCCAGTGCACGTAATTTCTTTCAAGCACCTCACACCTGTCCTGTGTGTGAGGTATGCAAAGCAGCCGAAGGTAACAGCATTCTGTTGCTCTCATGTTACAGAGGGGAAACTGAGGCACGGGTCCCTGCATGTGCATTGCCCCTTCTTACAAAGAACCACTGATGCCCAAGTCCTCAGCCAAAACAAACAGCGCCCACGATGCAGATCATCTTCTTAATGATGAGACAGAATGACTACAGCTTTAAAAAGAAAGAGCTGTGCTGTGCCCATAGCAGAGTTAAGAGTGGCTTGGGGTCTGGATGACCTGGATTGTCCTCCACAGAGCTGACTTATGTACTGCAGGTGGGAGCCACAGGCAGGGGTGGGTAGGATGAAGAGACTCCTCTCTGCCTGCTCCTCCTAAGCCTGCTTTTGGGCTTCTTCCTTTCTGGGGTTTTTTTTTTTTTTTGGTCTTTTTTTTAATGCTAGGGATTGAATACAGGGCCTCATGCACACTAGGCAAGTGCTTTACTACGAAGCTAAGCTCCCAGCCCATGGTCTAAGTATGGACAATCTGGAGGGAACACACACACACACACACACACACACACACACACATACACAACGCCACATACAGACACATGCACACATATCACATACACAAAGCACACACACAAGTATACACACATATACACACACTTGCATACCTCCTTTACAGCACACCACACATACACATGCAAGACTTCTGCATACACACATTACATGCATCACATCCATATATTCACATCCACATCCAGGAACTCACACATGCATGTCATATACCCACATGCTCATGTACATGCTACACACATGCATACATAGCACATACATGCAGATATACGTGTACCCACAACACACATATGCATGTATATACCACAGACACACCCACACACGATACCCTCATGCATACAGCATCACACACTACATATTCACACACACTCTCACAATACACATTCACCTCAAACACACACATAACATGCATACACACCCAGCTTTACAGCTCAGCACACCTGAAGCTCAGCAGTCTCTCCTGGACAGCTTCCTTCCCTGGGGCTGAGACCCTCAGCAGGCTGGCACCTGGGGGCTTCCCCACAATCTGCAATACACAGGCAGTGCTGCACAGCATGGAGTAAGAAAGGGAGGATAGCAGGAGGGTGGCAGTGTTTCCTAGAAGGGACAAGGACAGTCACCTCACTCATGTGAGGCATGGAGCTGAAAAGAGACATGTAATGGTACCACTGTGAGAGCTGAGCCGTGCTGGGGCTGTTTACACGAGACGGAGGCAGCGCAAGCAGAATGGCTATTGTACACGCACTGCTGCTGGCAGAAGGGAGAGACGGACCTGTGTGTGTGTGTGTGTGTGTGTGTGTGTGTATATGTGTGTGTGTGGGCGTGCATGTGTCTACAAGGCATAGGCATCTGTGCATGTGTACATGTGTGTGTATATATGTAGGCACAAGCTGTGGGAGTATGTGTATGTGTGTGAGCATCACGGGGGTGTGAGCATGTGTGTGCATCTGTATTGTGTGTGCTCGGAGGAGTACAGGAGACCAGGGCAGAGTTTAACATTCATGAGCTTCCTTCTTCCTACACAGCCTGTCATTCGTGTAACACAATGACAGCCTGAGCACAGGGATGGGTGGGGACAGAGGCACAACCTCCTAGGCAGATGGGGTCCTGAGCCCCAGTCCCCTACCTGACTCAGATCTGCCTGTCTTGCCCTCACACAGCCTGGATGGTGGACCGAAGCACAGGGGAGAATAAACCGAACTTTCCCCCAGAGCTTTGGGGCTTGGTGAGGTCTGTCTAAACCACCAGCTTCCTGCTGGGCCTTTCCCAAATCCCAGAGCTTCTGTCAAATTAAAGAAGAAAGAACCACTCACCCCCTGAAAGTCAGCCAAGGCGGTGATTATCCCATTTTTCCTGGAATGAGCTTTCCGCACTTTGACCGGCTGGAGCCGTAGGCAGGCAGGGCTCCCACCTCTCCAAGCTGCTCTCACACCCTCTGCAGCTCCACACGGTGTGATGCTTTCAAGTAAGTCACCGCTACGTGCAATTACACTTCAGAGCATCCGCCGAGGAAGGACGCGGGAAGACAGGCGGGAGAGCACTCAGGGTCCCCCTGGGAGAGAGCGGCCGGGGGCGGGGGGGGGGGGGCGGTGGTGGGGAGGTGGCCTCTCTCCTCCTGAGTGGTGTTCTGGCCGCCCTTTCTGGAGCTGCTGCCCTAACACACACAGGAGTCGTGCTGGGAGCGAGTGAAGGACCCCAGGGTGGAGGAATCCCCGCCGCAGCGGCAGCAGTGTGGGTTCCCATGGAGGCTGAGCACAGAGAGGACTGAGTGCTGCATTCGAGAGCTGGCCTTTAACATGTCACATCACATTTTCCATTCGCAGGCAAACCAAAACCAAACCAACAGCACACAGCCTCCCACCCATCACACAATTCATAAACCCATCAGAATTCACAGCCGGCCAACCAACCAGAATCCAGATGCAGGTAAATGTCATTAAGAAGCCTGCACACCACCAGATGCCACGAGGGTCTTGGTGAGCCTCCAGTCCCAGAGCCGAGAAAAAGTGAGCCAGGGCTTCAGGGTCCATAAACACAAAAGCATTCCTCTCACCCTGCCCAACAGGACCGATCTGACTGCTCAAAGCGAAGCACCAAGGATTTAGGGCCTGTGATAGCGCTAAAGAAACAGGGTTGTGGGACACATGAGCACCCGAACACGGAACACATGGGGAGTCCTGTCTCGGGCTAACTTCAAGGCTCTGATTCTGTTATTAAAGCAATCTATCAAAGAGAATGCTGAAGCAAAAATAAAATCCAATCAGGTGGTCGTGAGCCTGACTTTATCAACACAGCACCATGTCTGTTTACGTTCTGCTGCTTACTTGGAGAATCACCTCTAGTCCCACCAGCCCCTGGGAATGCAGGCACATACCTGACCGGTGGGCCTTCTCTGCAGTCCACTCCCCAATCCACACATCTTTTGCAAAGTTAAGGATGGATTCCCTGATACCCAAACTTCGAAGCCCGCCTATGAGTCAGATGGAGCTACTCGGTGTATGCTTTCTATTTAAAGATCAGATGGGGCTTATGCTCCGATACCATTCAGACCCTAAGCTTCTAAGAACTGGGTGCTAAATCTGCTCTGTTCAGCCCTTACTTTCCATCCACACAGGAGATGTTCTTGTTGACAACCAGGGCTGCTTTTTTCCATCGCCAGCTGCACAGGAAGCAGGGGTAATGGGGAGCTGCCGGCCTCTTGGGCTGGGCTGCTACGGAGTCAACATCGCAGCTTCCTCTAAGAAAGATGTGTAGGGGACCTCTGAATGCCACTGCCGTGGTCAGGAAGGAGTGGCAAGGGCCGGACAGCTGTCCTGGGATCCTGTCTGAGCTACACTGTGCCAAGGGCCACTATGGGGGCTGCTGGAGACAGACACACAACACACCAGCAGGACGGTTCTACCTAACCAGTCAACCCAAGAGTCCCTCCACCATCTTCTCAGAAAGCCCAGTGGGACAGATGAGACATCCCCCACTGAACACCCATCATCAGAGGAGAAAGGATGGCCAGAGGGTGCCAGCCCAGAGCTGGGTCCTGCATACTGAGGGGCACATGCACGCCTCTAAATTTCCTCCCCTCCTCCTGGTTTGATCACACTCAAGGAAAGCAGCCTGCCTGTGCTCTGGAGCCATCCAGTGAAAGATGGAAGCGCAAAAGAGCTGTGTCCCCAAGCCCCGGAAGGCAGGAGCTGAGCTCCTCACAGACTCTTGAGAGGAGACGCCCACGTACCCAAAGTCTGCCCAGCCCTTGGGAGCTTGGGCAGGTCAGGCCAGGCCTCTCTCATCCTCTCCCCTCCATCCCAGTCCTCAGAGAGAAAGCAAGCAGCCTGTGTGATCAGATGGAGCCTTCCTTGCTAATAAACCCATCCTGAGGCTGTGACACATTTCAGAAGGAGCAGAAAATTACCTTTCAGAAAGCCAATGTGAGGTAAGGGGAAAGGGGACAAAGTATGAGAGCCAGGAGCCACGAGCTACCACCGCAGGCGCAGGAGCTGGCCCAGGGCTCGTCCAGCAGCCCTCATCCTTGCAGAGGTCCAGCCTCAGAGTGCTGCCCCCAGCCCACAGCGCTCCGGGCAGCCCATGCCTGGAGACACGGAGGGTGGGCACCAGCACGCAGTCCCTGGGCTGGCTGGACCGAGGAGCCACAGCGGGCAGGGCGGGCAGGGACGACCGAGGCAGGGAAGAAGGCAGGTCGGAGAGGAAGGGGTGGGGAGTGGAGCCGGAGGGCGGGAAGGAGGGAGAATTGATTCTGTCTCCTCCACTGGGACCACTGAGCTAAGTTGCCATGGAGAAAGGGGAGCTGCTGGCAGAGCTCGAGGCGGGCGGAGGAGCCATATGCCAGAGGGAAGGCGTCAGCAGAGAACCAATCCCACAGTTCTGCTGCTGCAGCAGCCTCCCCCAGCCAGACCTCTGGGCCCTGGGTGACAAGTCTGGGAGAATAACTGGCCGGACCCCCAGCAAAATCAGGCCCCAGCACTACCATCCCCAGGGAAGGGGAGGGGAGGGGAGGGGTGGAGTTTCCCCTGGCTCAGGAGGCTCCGGTGCTGACCCATCACATTCCCCCACCCACTGGCATGCTGCACTGATAGTCTCTGCCCAAGGCCACGATTGTGGGACCTCGGAGCACAGGCATCCTCAGCCTGGCCAACTCCTGGCCTGGTATCTGTGCCTAGGGAGCGCTGCTGGTCTACACCTGCCTCCCTGTTTCTAAAAATCAGTTGCCAGCTCCTGAGTCACACTTTCCCACCCTCAGGAAGAAGGGGATGCCCACCTACTGGACAGCTTCCGCGGTCCAGAGCCGCCCAGGCAGGAGGCAGAAAAGGGAGGCGGCTGGATGTGGGCTGGTAGAGGAGGGGTGCAGCACTCAGATATGAGGGGGTGCGGGGGGGGGGGGGAGTAGGAGCCCCCTGCTGGGCCTCAGTCTCTCTCCTGCAGGGCACAGGAGCAGGGCAAGGCGCTCAGTCTCGGGGCTTCTGTTTCTTACTATAAGGAGCTCTGGGCGCCGCAATGGTGTAGAGGCAGGGAAAGAAGAGGGAGTCCTTTCACGGGCTGTGGCCACCACAGCGGGCTGGACGCACAAGGCTGCACCCAGTGTCCTCCTTTCCTTCACTTACAGGGCCACAAGGCCTCAGGCCAAGGACCAGCAGCCTTGCCACTGTGACTCAGGACACAGGAGGGCGCCATTTTATTATGAAAGTGTTCACGTGTGTGGGGCAATCAGAAGAACACTACAAGGAGATCCACAGATACGACCTAATTTCCACGGCTTCCCTTTTTCACTATGGTAAAATACCAGCAACATAAACTTTATCATCTTAATCACTGTTTTTTTTCTTTGTACCAGGCATCGAACTCAGGACCTGGCACTTGCCAGGCAGGCGCTTATGCCGCTGAGCTACATCCCCAGCCCTAAGCATTCTCAACTGTGTGTGTCTGTGGCAGGAGGCACCAGCGCCTCTATCTAGTCCTGCAAGGAGACCCACTTCCCCTCTCCCTCCAGATTCTGACAACCACGAATCTACCCAGAGTAGTCACTCAGAGTACAAGACACAAACCAAAAAGATCCTTGCAAAACACAAACAGACAAAAACACAAAACTTTCTTTTCCATGATCTAAAATAACCAAGTAAATTCTGTTAGCGGAGTATGTAATGGAGGAAGCATTTGAACTTCTCTGTATTCCCATTTCTCTCTCTTCCACTGTGCTCTTTTTATCACATTCTTTATGTTTATATCTATTTTGCTTCTCATATAAAAGAACCCATGTGACAGTTGAGCTTATATGATTTATTTTACTTTTTTTTCTTAAAAAGTTGAGCATCATGATCAGGTTATTACATTGAAAAATCAACAGCCTTGGTGCAAAAACAAAACAAAAACAGTATATGTTAAAACCCTTTGTAGGAAAGCTTTACACTTTCCACAGAACGGAAACTAAAGTAACTGTTACACAGTCACAAACACAGCCCTGAGACTCTGGCCCATCCACATGAGGGCTGTCGAAGACACACCTGTGCAGTAGTGAGGCCCTGCCACTGCTGTTCAAGGCTGAGCTCACAATCTGCTGTGCCTTGTAGCCTCCCTGTCACTTCTGTGGCTGTCCTTGTCCACTAAGATTCGTCTCCTGACAGTATTAATCCCTTCTGCCACGCCATCACTACTGCTGTCACTGGAACTGCCACTGTCACCTCGATTTTGCTTGGCAAACTATTGGCCTCCACCACCACAGGGCCTGGATCTTCTGCCTCCCTTCATGGGTCCCAAATTTGATGACTGATTGTCGTAACTGCCAAAAATGATTGTTGATTTATTTTGTTTAACATGATGTTCTCAAATTGCATCCATTTACTCAACTTTTTCTTTATGGCAGCATAATATTCCATTGTGTATCAGTGCTACATTTTGTTTATCCATTCATCTGTCAACAGATATATATTGTTTCCAAGATCTAGTTATTATCAATTGTGCTCCTATAAACATGGGTGTGCATATATCCCTGAAATACGATGATTTTTAACTCTTCTGGGGAGAAGCCTCAGAAGGTGATAGCAAGGACAAATGGAATTTCTATTTTTAGTTTCTAAGGAAACTCCACTCAGATTTCCATGGTGGTTGCACTAGTTTGCCTTCCCATCAACAGTGTAGCAGAGCTCTTCTATATGTACAGCCTCACCAGCATTTGTTATTATTAGGGTTTTTTCTGACAGCCGTTCTTGAGCCAGGGACATAGCAAAGCACCTGCCTGGCAAGCACAAGGTCCTGAGTTCAATTCCCAGCACAAACAAACAAACAAACAAACAGCCATTCTTCCTGGGGTAAGATCAATGTAGCTTTAATTTGCATTTCTCTGATGATCACCAAGAATTGCATTTTTTTCATGTATTTATGGCATTTGCACTTCTTCTGAGAAGACTATTCATTTCAATTGCCCACTTTTTCGACTGGGTCTTTGGGGGGGTCTTCCTTGAGTTCTTTGTATTTTCTTGGTATCCGTGCTGGTATCTGTCCATGGAATAGCTGGCAAAACCTTTCCCCACTCTATCGACTATTTCTTCATTCTGTTGGTTTCCTTTGCTGTGCAGAAGCTTTTTAGTTTGATGTGATTCCATTTGTTGATTCCTGGTTGATTCCATTTGTTGATTTCTTATGCCACTAGGTTTCTGTTCAGAAAGCCCTTGCCTATCCCTATGTTTCCTCTAATTTTTGTTTTGTTTTGCTTTTTGAAACAGGGTCTCTATGTGGTTCAGGCTGGTCAAGAGCTCTCTGTGTAGCCAGATTGGGTCCTGAACTCGTGGTGATCTCCTGCCTGGGATTACAGACATGCTCCACCACACCCTTTCACTTTTAAAATGAGTTTTTCAACCAGGTGTGGGCACAGTTGGGAGACTGAGGCAGGAAGATCACTGTGGGTTTGAGGCCAGCCTAAGCTACACAATAAGTTCAAGGTAGCCTGAACTGCAATGTGAGATCTTGTCTCAAAAAAAGAAAAAATTCACTTGAACAACTATTTCTAAGATAACAATATGTAATCTATTAACTAGTGATTTCCTACTGTTTATTTTTTCTGAAATTCTATGTAACTTGTACCATTTTTCAGGTTTTTTTTTTTTCTCCTTAAAAAAAAAAAAAAGAAAGAAAGAAAAAATTCTTTACCTAGTATATAAAACAAAGCAAAGCAAAAACAAAAACCTGAAATTTACGGATGGGAAAACAAAAAGAACAAAAGAAAAAAAATGGAAACAACAAACAAAACTAAAGTAAAATGAGTTTCAGAGCCCTGGGACGGTCCCTGACGTGCCTCTCTCAGAGTATTTAGTCTCTAAGCTATAGACCCCTGAGGGCTCAGATTAGATGCTGCCCAGGCCAGTCTTTCCTGATGGGTGCCATCCAGGAGCCTTCATCTGGCCCGGAACCCAAGGCACCAAGCTCAGGCCCTCAATTTAAGGCCGTGTGAGCCTGAACTCCAATGCTGTGTGGCACCCACGGGCTGTGTGGCCAGTCAGGGGCCCCACTCCAGCTTCAGCTTCTCCATCCACAAAGCAGACAATGATCTCCACCCAGGACAGGCTGCCCTACCCAACAAAACTTCCCCCATGACTGGCAGCTTCCCCACGTGTCCCACTGGGGTGGCTGCGGCTACCACCACCACCACCGGCCTCAGGAGACAGCAGAGCCCCTGAAATGCAACTACTGAATGTGGAGTGGAATTTTTTCACTGCATTTCACTTTAACTTACAACTGAAATCGGAATCACACAGAGCTAATGGTGATTGCCCCAGACCAGCAGCTCTGAGTGTGGAGAAGATGGCGACTCTGGGAGGGTCTCCCAGCCCTGGGTCGCTGTCCCTCCCACTCCCTCTCCTGACTTACCCTGCAGTGGCTGGCAGTGGGGCCAGAGGGCCCTCTAAAAGGACGGGGCGTGGGTGGCCCGTTTCTCAGGGAACCAAACAAGTGGCGGCTGGGGAGTGGACTGCTCAGACTCCATCATGACAAGGGTCTCTGAACCGAAGACCTTGCTCTCTGTCTTGTTCTAGAACCCCCTCCTCATCTCCCCCAGCAACTCCTGGAATGTCTGCACAGGGGCTGCGGATTGGAACCCCACCCCCACGTGGTGGCAGAAGGTCCTGGACCCAGGGTGGGTGGAGCTGCTCTCAAGGTCCCTGTGGTGTGGACAGGCTGCACCGGATGCAAGGCAGACTCTGCCCCAGGCTTCTTTCTCACTCTGCAAATGAAAGCCTCAGAAAAGGAAGTGTCCTTTCTAGGATCACACAGCAGGCAGTAACAGCACTGGGTCTAGTCCACCTTCGACCCTGACCTGGGTGGGGATGTGGGGCTTACATAAGCCTGCATCCTCCTGGGCCTACAGCAACATTCACCCATCTCCTGTCCCCAGCCATTTGAACATAGCTGGGGGCGGGGCGGGGCAGGGAAAAGTGATACTCAGGGGGTGATAAGGGGAATCCAGATAAACGAGACTGAAACACCTGACCATGAAACACAGCCAGCCCTCCATGCTCATGGTTTCCACATCCAAGGGTCCAATCTATCACAGATTCAAAGTATTCAGAAAAAAACTCTACTGAACAGGTGCAAGGCTTTTCTTTGTCATTATTCCCAAACAATACAATGTAACAGCCATTTATGTAGCCTTTCCATTGTTGTGGGTATTATGGGTAATCTAGAGCCGGCACAGGTTATACATAAATACCATATCATGTCACGCAAGAGGCATTCTGGCAGTGGCAGAACCAGTCCCCTCTGACACCAAGAGGGATGTCAAACACAAACTCCATCTGTGCTTGGCGCCCCTTCTCACGAGGGCCTTCCTTAAAACTTAACCGTGACCCCAGATCCTGCACTCCTTTGCCTTCCTTTTCTGTAGAGCACGAGTCCTTATCTAATATTCTATGTATGTTTCTTTCTTCGTCTCTTCATTGAAGTGCCGGCAGACACGTAGCATGACATTTGCCATCCTAGCCACTTTGAAGTGGACAGTTCCATGGCATTAGCTACATTCACTTTGCTGGGCAACCCTCACGGTAGTCTCAGGACTTAGCTTCCCTAACCAAAGCTGCCCTCACTGGACACAAACACTGCGCTCCCCAGCCTGGCCCCTCGCATCCACTGGTCCACTTTCTGCCACCTGTGGACACCTCACAGTACGATCGGCCTCTGTTCTTCTACACCTGGCTTCTTTCACTGCACATGCTTCCTCCTTCACCCATGCTGCAGCACGCTCTCTTTTTAAGCTGTCCGCCTCCCTGACTAGAACAGAGGCTCTGTGGGGGCACAACCTGGGGTGAGTGCATTCCCAGGCACTGAGCGAATCTTTGAATGATGGGATGGATGAGTGGATGGATGGATGCATTCTTGGGCAGATATACGAATGAATGGATGAATGAATATGTGGACATATGGATGAATGAATGGGTGGATGAACAGATGAGTGAATGAGTACAGAATCTACAGAGCCTGTACTTCATAGGTCTCTGCCTGGCCCAGAGTTATAACTGTCTTCCCCAGGATCCCCTGTAGACAAATTCCTGGCCCTGCCTTATTGCATAGCCCCTCACCCTGGAACCTTAGACCCACATCCTTATGGGGTGCCACATCCTTATGGAGTCCAGGCTTCTCTGCTTAGGGTGGTTTCCCTTGGATGTGGCTTGTCTAGGTAGCATTATTCAAAGGCAGGTAAGAGTCCCCAGAACCCAACAAAAGGTGTGCCTGGAAGTCTCACAGGGCAGCAGCCGCTAACACAGGGCAGCAGTGAGAATGCGGTGGCAGGAAGTACCTAAACACCGGATTCCGCCCACACAGCCCAAGGCCAGTGCCGGAAGGACAGCAGTCTGGTGGTGGACATTCAGTCCTGCTGGGGAGCTAGGCCACACCCTTGGCGGCTGTTTGCCTCTCACCTTCTCCACATCCTGCCTGGCTATTTATAGTCACCCTCTCTGAGAAAGCCGGTGCCCATTTTTCTGAGCTGGACGAACTTGGTAAACTAATGTCAGGTGGACCCCATATCAGCATCCAGCAAACCTGAGGGGAAGGCCGTACTAGGCCAGGCCAGCTGACCCCCAGGCTTCTGACAAGTGTCTCATGTCCTGCCAGACTTTGGGTGCCCATTGCGAGGGGTGTCCCAGGCCAGAGTAGTAGACTAATATCTGGGTGGACCTCGGTCAGGGAGGATGGTGACCCCAGAAGGACCCAGGTCTCCCCAGAGTTCTCTGCTTCAGAAAAAGCAGATAGATTGGGCCAGTGTAAAACAGCTGTACCTTTAAATTATTTGGCCCACTGATATGAAAACATGTGCACACTGAAGTTGTTTGCATCGTGGGTTATTTTTAGGGTGAACCCTGTTGCCTCCCCTTGGAACCGGATGAAGCCCCAGAGGCACGTAGTCCTTTTTTCCCAGATGGGGGTCCTCCTGCCTCCCTGGGAATGAGAACTTGCCTCTGGGATCTCAGGGACCCCCACCCCCACCAGAGCATTGCACCCACTTGGGCTGCTGGAGAGGGACTGGGCGCCAGGAGCTGGGGAGGTTTGCCACTGTGCAGAAGGTCCACTGCCACCTGGCCCTTGAGCAACCCCTCCACCCACCATGGCGTGGTGTGCTGGAGAGAAAGCTCCATCCACTGCCTCCACCCATGCCGGGCTCAACTGATGGAATATGTGGCTGACATATTTCCAGAACAGGCGGCAATTAAAGTAGATTTTCTCTTCTGCTCCCCCTCCCCAAAACAGGAATAAATCAGTTCTACCAATTTCCCAGCTAATGATTTCCTCCATTAAATTAAAAAGAAGAAAATGATTTTTTAAATGGATTACCAGCCTTGTGCTTTGAGAGACCACGTGACCTGTCAATTCCTCTTAAGTCCAGATACATCAACGCCCCTCAATTAATTTTTAATAAATTTTTAAAAACTCCATAGCTAAAAAGTGCTGCATAGCCCCAATCTCGCCCCTCCTTCACACAGCACATAAGGGTCCGCTCCAGCCTGGCTTTGGGAAGCTGGCTCAATTGACCAAAGGTAACCCTTGTGGACAAACCACTCGGGACTCCTTTTGTCTCTCTCAAACAGAAGCTTTCTTTCTCTCAATAAATATATTCTGCCTTTAAAAGACAAAACAAAACAAAAAAACAAACAAAGATAATCTTTGCAGTTGGTGCTGGAGAGCCATTTCACAGATGGGAAAAGGAGGGGCAGCAGATAGCAGGCACATTCACACCCAGAGGGCCAACTGAGCACACCACTGGGCATTACATGTGGTCTGGGGCTCTCTGTCTCCAGGTGCACCTCTCAGGGAAACTGCAAACAGGTAGCTGAGGAGTCTGAGCAGGGACAGTGAGTGTGATCACCATCTGCCATGGGCGAGGCGGGCAGGACAGGACGCCATTCACAGCCCATGTCTGTATCAGGCAAACCCATAGGAGACGAGCATGCAAGAGAGATTACCAGGGGGTGGGGGAGGCCAGGAGCTGTTGTTTAAATAGGTACAGCTTCTGCTTGGAAAATGGGAAGTCCTGCAAAAGAATGGGGTGACACTGCACAGCACCGTAAACACACGCACTGCCTAGCCTTGGGCACTGACCCAGGACAGCTGGTAAACTCTACACTATGGGGGTCTTACCGTATAACGAAACTATACCACAAAAACAAAGGTCGCGCCTCAAAGTGCTGTTCCAAGATACAGGAGTGGCTGACAAATCCACAGTGCCCGCAGCAGGACCACAGGACCCTCTGCAGTCTGCCCCAGTTCCCGGCAGGCAGGTTCCCACATAGGCTCAGGAGCTCCTGCATCCTCTTGTCACGTGAGAACCCAGGGAAGGCTCCTCATGTTAGCCAGTGCCATGCAGCCAGCATTCCACCATCCTGGTGGCCTGCTTGGTACCAAAGGGCAGGCAGGAGCTGAGAAGCTTGGGGAGGGGACACCTTTCCCAGAGGTGCCCCAGAGCCTCTGCACCTGCCTGGCCTGTCCCAGAACACACTTCCCCTGATGCTAAGGAGCTTGCTTCTCCCAGAGGTTTTCACAGAGCGCTCTGACCATCTAGTGTGAGAAACACCAGGGAAGGTGACTGGGCCCGAGAGAGGAGCCAAGAGCAAGAATAGGAAACCAAAAGCCTGCAGGCCAGGATGAGCCAACACCTTCCAGCCCCTCTGGTTGAGGGGAAGCGGCTCCAAGGAGGGCGGGAAGGTCCCACCTCCATCCCTTACCAGCTAGAGGGGTGGCCAAGCTCCTTCAACCCCAGAAACCTGTTTTCTCTTCTACAAATGAGTATGGGAAGAGTCCCTGTCTCATGGCTCTGTGGTGGACCCCAGGAGATGGTGCACTTTGTGTCCCCTGTGGACAAGTGGGAGCAGTAAGTGGGAGGCGAGTGTAACTTCTCACATGCAGGACGTTCCTCCAAGAGGGTCAGGGCAGCCACCTGAGAAAGCACCAAGGAGACCATGCAACAGGAATCACTTAAGGCTGCCCAGGGCAGTGTCTCGAGACTAGTATGGAAGAGGCAGGAGGAGGGAAGGCGCAACAAGGAGACTGCGGCAGGCAGGCAGAGGCAGGTCTCAGCCGTTTCCGCAGCCCTGCCATCCAGACTGCACATGCCTCTGGAAGCCGGAGGGAAAGGAAAGGCGTGGTGCAGGTCCCTTAGGGAAGCCTGCAGGATGGCTGGACAGGCCCGGTGCATCTCGAGAGCCTGCAAGGTTAGGCAAGGTCAAGCAAGTTCATGCTTTGTCCTGCTGGCCAGCTGCTTTGGTCAGCAGCCAAGCGCACAATTAACTCCCTCAGAGCTGGGGTGGGTGTTAGAGGGGAAAAATATACACGTTCTGGCTTACAATATGAGCTCTTCCCTACCCCTCAGAGATCTGGGGACACCTGGAGGTCCCAATCCTTACAGGGGCTGAGCGCAAGGTATCCGTCCTGGGCAACAGGGGGGTTCTGTGTGCCCCAGGTGAAGGGCAGGTTGCTTTCAACTCAAGCTGCAGATCTCCACTGCCCTCCAAGCAAGCTCAGAAAATCCTGCAGACATCTTAGCTAATGACTAGGCCACCCCAACACAAGTTCTTGCTGACCCTTCCTTCCCCTACAACCTTCACTGGAGGCTCCTCCACCTCAAAATCTTCCCATAGTTCCTGTCACACTTAGGCTGGGGTTCAGTCTTTACCTTGACCTTGCAGCCCTGACCCCGGACCACTGTCTCCCATTGCCCTTCTGGTCTTGTTCAGTTCTGGCCTCACTGTTCCCCAAACTTGCCTAGCACACTCCTGCCTGCCTGTCTTGCTTCCCAAATTTCCTTACGCATCGACACAGAACCCCATCTAAAACCCACTACCACCCCAATCTCTTTCTAGTCTCTTCCCCTAAAAGTAGAAGAGTGACTGGCTTCTGGGGCTTGGTGAAATAAGACACGGAAGCTTAAATAAACAAGTATGAAATAAGGTGGTAATCAAAGACACCCCTCAAAGCCCCTGGCGCAGCTAGTTTTACAGATGATTCTGCAAACTTTCAGCAAGTTCAAGGGGAACCATGAATCCAGCAGGTTCTAAAGTCAAATGTGGGCTCGAAGCATAATGGTGAGAACTCAGAAACCCCCAGGGAGCACGCTGCGCTTCCTTTGTGCTAATGCTGCCTCCTCCAGAGATGCACCCCCCGCCCTGCCTTCACCATCTCCATCTGGGCACTTGCCAAATGCCTACTGCAGCCGCTGCCACTTATTGGTGTTCAGGACTGAACCCAGTACCTCTGCACTGAGCTACATCCCAGCCCTTTTTTCATTTTTTGAGCCTGGGTTTCAGTAAGTTGCACTAGGATTACAGACATGCACGCCACACCCCGATTTTTTTTTTTACTTTTTTTTTTTCTTTTTGCATCTTTAGCTGCTATTTACATGTCCATTTCACCTGCTAATAAATAACTAAGGA